CGACTCGACTTGAAAAAAATGAGTCGAATAGAGTTGGTCTTTAAACTCGACTCGACTCGACTCATTCAGAACTCTAAGTACAATTACTTTTAAACAAGAATAATTAAAAGAATTAACATAATTATCGCCCTTAATAAAACAAATAACAATAACTGAATAAATGTATAAATAACTTCCTCGCTTCTATCCCAATCCTTACTTCCCTCTCACCTTTACAAAAAAAAGATACCTAACTTAATCAACTACGTCTCATCACATATACGATATATATTCTATAGATATACCATCTGAAAATATGATTAACCTATTCTTTGATGATTCATTCGCTAACCTAACAAATATTCAATCACCCCAAAATATCGATATCCCAACCATCAACACAAACACCTCAAACTTGAATCTTTCTACAAATCAAACATCATTCACATTACCAGACAATAATCCATGAAGACCAAGCGAACCTTTTTAACGAATCTATAATAAATTTCAATCAACCATATTAAAAGAATATCCTGACACCCCTTGTGTCTATTGTAGAAAATTACTATACAAAAATAAAGCCACCTGGATCACATATGACTTCTCGACAACCTACCCAATTGAACAAATGAAACAAATTAACATATTAGTCTGATATAGCACACTGAAATGTCAAATCATTAAAATCTCTTCATATAACTCATGTGTAAAACCTCAAAGTAGATATCAATTTCTATTATTAGCTAAAATTCCAGATAAAATCAAAACCGTACCTATACACCATAGGAAATTCTTATCTCTCATCTATTTACATTGTTCCCTCAGATGAAACTTAAACCTCGACAATTACTCAAAGTATCGTTGCTATAGAATACTCAATAAACTTTAGGGTACTAGTACTATACTCTTGCATAATAGAGCCTACCTACAACTACTCAACCCAAATCATATTCTAAATGAAGAGATTTTTGACGACAATCTCCTACAAGCTGCTCTTTAGTTAAGTTCAAACAACCTCTATTTACGCAATTATAGAACTATTCTAAACTAAAAATTTGGTACAAGATTAATAGAACTATTCTTAACTGCTACACACATCCCAAATGATGATTTCGCATTACCTGCAAATCAACGTAACATAATCGTATCAACTATAAGTCTACCCAACGAAGTCCACGATGAAAACTTTCACTATTCGCGTTTAATGGTCAGATTCGTTCATGATGACAATGACAACTCCTTACCCATTTAAATCTACGATCTAAACCTCGAGCCTCTCCTATTTTCACACTTATTCCCCAATGGTAAAGGTCACTTTTACAATATTAGAGACCATTCCCAATCAAACGAAGACAGACTAGAGACCTTAGGAAAATATGCCAAGCATATGATACTACTCAATGATCATAGATTCAGAATAGATCACTATTGGCCATCCTATACATACCTACAACTAAAGAAGCTACGCTATCACCAGAACACCCAACGTATACTACGGTAAAGAAATACTGATAAATCGTATCGAATTCCCATACTAATCCAACTAATTCAACAAAGTAATTATTCAAATAAAAAATGTATAAATGAAGACTTGACTATCCCAATTTCTACATTCATTAGAACAAGTGACTCCTACTTCCACGAAAAGGAATTACACCTCAACTCAATATTACAAAACCTCGGACTTCTAACAATATTCATTATACTATCAATGGCAGAAAGTAGATGGTCAGAACTCTACAACATACTAAGACAAACTGACAACAGTGATACTATTCTGACCAACAGGTCACTATATACTACCTTTCTCTTCATCTACTGGTTCAGATCGCTAAAATAAAGTGTGAAAAAATAAGGAAGTAAGCAGATGGGGCACAATAACAGATTTCTTTGACCGAATAGAATTCCAAAACAGAAGAACCGCTCATACACATAGCTGCTACTAGACTACAAAATCAATTGAAGACATGATCCAAGATAACGTTATACGTTCCAACCTACCAGATCCAATACATGAACCAGAACTCTACGAAAAAGTTCTAGCATACCAAATTTATCGATACAACTCTCTCACATGCAACAGACCTGCTCCCCCAGAAGAGAAATGCAAAAAGGGATTCCCAAGACAATTCTCTAACATGACACATATCGATCAAAACTCCTGTTGA